GGACTCCTGGAGCCTGGGTGTCCCCGAGGGGGCTCAGGGCACCCCGGGGGTCCCCGAGGGGGCTCAGGGCACCCCGGGCACTCGGTGCTGGCAGGGCTCAGCATCACAGCAGGGAGGGAGCAGAAGGAAATGGGGTAACTGTGGGCTCGGCTGTGGGGTGGGACTGGCTGACTTTTACACAGCTACAGCAGGGAGAGGAGGGTGGGAGAAGCCACCCAGGAGGACAATTTAACGGGCAAAAAGCATAAAGTGCATTATCGTGCTTAAGCGATTAAAGAAAAAAAAACTTCCTGAACCTCAGCATCTTGCAAATATACAGCAATCACCCCGAGGCAGATGGAGAGATTGTCACATTAGGCTAAATTAGCTCATTTGGTCAGAATTACCTTTATTTTTGCCTTTATTCTGTCAGGGGGAATGCTAACTCTTAGGAACTGCTGCAAGGTTTTGTGATGCACAACAGAGACCGAAGACTTTGGAACAACTTTCATTTTTGGTAAGGTTTTCTCAGGGGGTGGTAGGGGTGGTGTCATATTTTTAAAGTGAATTTCCAGTACAGCAGCTTCCGTTTTCCACTCATGGCCACTTATCATCCTTTTCTAAACCACTCTTCCTGAGAGACAGAAAAAGAGAGCTGCACACAGATGATAGGAAGAAAGGCAATTTCATTGCTTAAGTACAGACTGAAAGCCTATCCAACACATGATGGCAGGATCATTTAATGGTCTTCTTGTGGTTGCTCTACACAGGGGCTGCTTTGCCAACAGCTCTCATTTTAAAGGCTGGTGGAGTTTGAGAGGTGGTGGATTTAGCAGAGAAAATCCTGTTGACTAAGGGTATAGTGCTTGACTCCAAAAGACATGAATAGAACTTGAATAAAGAGAGGCACAGGAGCAGAGAACTGCAGCTCACATGGATGGAACTCCAGCCAGCTCCTGTTTGTATGGGCATCCACTGCTATGGAGAAAAGCTACTAATATCCTTCAGCTCCAGACATGACTTCATATCCTAAGGCACGCTCCATCCACGTACCTTTCAAAGCCAGCAGCATCACTCCTGCTCTCACTGACCCCAAGAAAAAGCCACTATCACCCTAAAATTTTTGTCCACAGCTGTTTTGGCCCTGATGGATGCCTGGACCACAGACTGGATCATGGGACTGAAACAAAGAGAACAGAATTAAGCATAGGAGGGTTGAGAGCTCTGGCTGTGCAAGAGAAGCCACATTTCAGGGCTGAGAAGGAGCCACCCAGACTGATTTGTTTGCATTCATCAGGTTTTGTTACCATTCCTGAGGGGGTTTGTTGTGTACACACACTTCACTTTTATTGGTGCTGGCAGGGATGGGACCCTCTGCACTTCATTTCTGAGGAATACAGAGTTTGTCCTACTTGTTGCCCTTTGTCCACCAAAAGCAGAGATGGAAGAATGGGGAGTGGAACTGAGCCTTAAGAAGTCCCCATGTCAGTTTTTGCTTTGCAAGTGCTCTACTTGCACTCAGCAGCACTTGGTCTGTACTGCTGTGCTTCAGTTATTCTTAAAATTAAGACCAGCAGTATCACAAGGAATTAGAAAGCACCAATTAATTGTGAGACAGGAATGCTGACACCCTGGGTTCTCACAAGCATCTTACTTCCTTCTGACTCTTGCAGACCTTCCTGCCCAGTAAAAAATTTCCCAGTTTTTGTACAGGAGTCTCCATAAGGATGAGCAATCCAAGGGAATTCCCTCAATTCCACAGATCTTTTCTCCATTTGATCAGTGCAGTGTCACAGACAAAAAGATAAAAAGGTATTTGCCAGCTATTGTCCTTTGATGCAATTGTCCTTTTTTCTTTCATTTTTCTCTCTCATGTGCAGCTAAGAGAGGGATCTATGAACTCTACCAGAGCTGAACTGCAGCTGAACAGGGGAGCCACAGTTTTGCTTCATCACTTGAAGCACAGGCCCAAAACTGTACTGTGAGATGAAGTAACATAAAAATATATCCCACTGTAGAGGGAACTCCAAAAAGCTGGGGAGCTGCCGGGAGAGGATGTGCAATTTTAGGAGCCTCCAGTGTAAGATGTGTCTGGTAAAATGGTTGGAGGCTGCGTGGGTCAAAGTGTTCCAATTCCAACCTTTTCTGTTGTAGGTTTTTCACTGCAAACTGCAGTGGGGAATATGGATCACCAAACACAAAACCACAAGCAACAGAAAGCTAGGAACACATATGTGCTTGCCCACAGCACTGCTGCCTGTAAGCTGTTCTCCAACCAACAAAAACATCTCAGTGGCTGGAAAAGATGAACAGGCCTGGTTGCCAAGTCATGGCCCGAACTATTCCAGGGGCAGAAAAGACAGCTGGGCTGCTGGTAAAGAACAGGGCTATTTAAGGAGACTCACTCTGGCCTAATGGAAAATGCAAGGATAGAATTATCAATTATTTTACACTAACCCAACATTTCAGATCCAGGAAAAAAACAATCACAAGGAAGCAGAAGAAAGAAGCTGGTTAGATTCGGCTGGCAGCTCAGTCCAGGTATAGAAAGAGCAGAATGTGCTGCCCTTTAGAAGAAAGAAAATTAACTGTTTTTCAGAAGATGGTGATTCATTTCAGCCTACAAAGCAAACTCCAAATGCACCTGCACTGTTGTTCCAAGCGCTGACACAAAGTTGATGTGATCCCAGGGCCTTGGGTTATCACAAGGAGCCACAAAAGCCATCAGTGGAACTGAGATAAAGAAATTATTTTTGGATGTATAGCTATATGCTGATATTTTAAGTTATACTGCTGATCTGCTGTCTCTCTCAGCCCTCAGGGCAGCTGCTCCTGCTGTGCTGCACAGTGTTCCATATTAAGAATTCCTATGCAAAACCCTGGCTGCCACCCAGAAAACATGTTAGAGAGCAAACACACAGAGCCAAATAAACAACAGTCCCAGAGACTGTGAGAAAGGCCCAATACACAACTGCCAAGGGGGACTCTGAGCTGAAATCTCGAGAGGGAAAGCTCTTCAGCATGACCTTCAAATGCAGCTTTGTCTGCTGCAAACCCACTGTAACTGAACTTCTCTCTGTCCTTTTACCACAGCCTTGGTCCCACACTGCTGACAGCCTCAGCACAGCCTCAGCTGTGCCATCAGATGCTCAGGAGTCACAGCATTTAGCAGGGTTTGTAATGAGGGAGGGAGGGCAGCAGAAAACTCTTTGGTTTTCTTTCACAGGAATGCTCTGTTCAGTGTCTATTACAAAAAAAGGGCAAAACTTTGCTTTAGAATTCAGTTCAAAGTGCAAGCTTAAAAGAATTCTGAAATCTCTGTGCCCTGTTCCTCAGCACTTCCTCTCACAGTTACATATTTCAACAGGCAGCTCTATAAATACGTGTGGCAGCCCAAAAGCTGAATGTCATGGTGTCTGATGAAACTTTTACAAGAACATTCCTCAGGACTTCCCAAAATTAACAACTTTGAACAGCTTTTGTAATTTCTGTTCAGGGCAGAAGCAGACTACATCTTTTGAGATTTAAATACACATGCACCAAAGAGTATCTTGTTTACACCGTGTGTTCCAGGCTGCACTGGTGCTTAGTCACAGCACAGGATGTAGCACATTCTGCCTTCCAGCACCACTTGATTTTGAAGGCCAGAACATCCTTTTGTCTTGTTTGCTCTCCTGGGACAAACATAAGAGGATCAGGAAGGGAAGCATTCCAACCTACAGCACGGGGAATTCAGCAGGTATAAAGTGGAGCTGGAAATGAAGTTGGTGATCTAATATGCTGCTGTCACAGCAGCTCAGATGTAAGAGAAAAAGTAAATCATACTTCCTGGCTCTCTGTGTCAGTGGAGGTGTTGCAACGTGTTTTACAATGACCCTCAGGTCCCAAACAACATTTTCATCTGAATGGTTTTACTCCTTTATTCAGCCTTACAAAATCCCAGGGAAACACAGGGACATAACATTCTCACCATCTATTCCCACTGCTGCACAGCCAGTTCTGTGCCTCTAGCCTGGCTGCAAGTGTTAAAGAAACCTGGGCCTGGGGCTGTGGTGGATCTGAGTCAAAGCCTCCACTGAGAGCATCGGGGTATTTAAGGTAACTGCACAATCTTGGAGTGACAGGTACCTGCTGGAGGACACCTCTGGTCAGCTCCCAGTCCTTCCACCCTGTCAGAGTGGCTTGATGGCCAGGGCAGGACTGGGTATTCACTCACACTTAGCATTTGTAGATGGCAAAAATGTTTGCACCAATGGGTTTTTTATTGGGTCCATCTCTAGGGGTGATGTATTAAACAGAAAAAAATCCTACTTTTCTGCTGTAAAGGTATGTTACAGTTGCCAGGGACAGAGAGCTGCAGTTGCTGGCAGACCCAGGCAGCAGCTATTTAAGGGTATCTATAAATATGAAGCACAGGTCCCAAAAACACACCTGGAAATCCCAGGGAGAAAAAAGTTATCTTAAATGCTAAAATTAGATGTGACTAATCCCAGTTCTGCAGGCACAGGAACTAGCTGATTCCTGCCCAGGTTGGACAAACAGCTCCTGAGGTGACTGAACACCAGGTAGTGTCACTTTGCAGCTGTGGAAGGATTTGCTTTGGCACTTTGGTCCCACTGAGGCCTCCACAGGGAGAACTGCTGAGCAGAATTTTGCTGCTGTCCTGGTTCTGGGAACATTCTGAAAGCACACTTGTTTTGCTGGCTGGCAGCTGCACAGAAAACTCTGGAGGGATATATTGGTGAGCCCCACAAGTCTCTGACCTGTCTCACCTTCTATTCTGAGAGTATTAGCACAATTCACTTAGGATATGTGGGGACTGGATCAAATCCAGGAGAAGAGATTAGTTAGGTCTAAGAAAGTGGCTGTCAAGCAGAGAAAGGTCAAAAGCCATCACACACACAGCACCAGAATGTCCAGTTTGGTGTAGGTCAGCCCAGAAATTGTTGACCAAGGTGTGTCACCTGGCCCAGGATGCAACCCAGGCTGGAGGCTGCTGCCCTCCCAGCACTGTCACTTACCCATGAAGAAAAGTTCCGGGGACTTTTTGTCTGTAGCAAACTCTGCCATGGGCCCACCAAAGCGCAGCCACAGCCCGAAGGCAATGACAGCCAGTCCTGCCAGCTGCAACACAAACACAGCAGTCAGGGCTACAGTGACAAACAGCTGGAAAGAATCACAGCGGTGTCTTGGCACCTTGTGCTTTCTTGAAATCCCACAGCTCAGAATTGCACTGTCAGAAAATTTATGCAGCACTTGCCAGGGTCTGATAACAATTCCTATTACAGTGCAATGTACTTGTTTCTTTCAGTCTTCAGTGTAGTGGTGCTTCTGAACTTACTAGAGACTCTCAAACCTTGTCAGTCATTTAACCATCAAAACTGGGCCTGAATTCTCATGAGAAATGGAGAGGGGCAGGGGACCCCCACCAAAACTAGGAGGTACAAGGATTGTTACTGGGTGGATATCTTGGATCACAGAAATTACAAACCAGTGATAGATGCTGTCAAGTGCAAGGGAAAATTCCCTTTAATGTGAACAAGACCAGGTCACAAAGGAGTGTCACAGCATGTTGTTTGAGGGGAAAGATCTACAGAGGTCTCAGCTTCACCACGTGCCAGACAGATCATGCTATGTGACCTGGCAGAGAACTCCAGCATCCCTCAAGAGCAGAGCTGTGTGTCCTGCAGGCAGCTCCAGCATCCCCCAGGAGCAGAGCTGTGTGTCCTGCAGGCAGCTCCAGCATCCCCCAGGAACTGGCACAGTGTCCTGCTGCTGTCCAGGCCCAGAGCCTCAGCCTGTGGCACCTGCACAACCTGGACAAGGCTCACAAACACCTGCTGCTTCCCTCACAAACACCTGCTGTGGGTGCCAGCCTGGCACAGTGCTCCCCTAACCTGTCCTGCATTCCCTGGCACTTGATCCATTGGCACAGCTCCACAAGCCAAGAGAGCAGGCAATTGTACAGCTGGAGAGCTCAGGACCATGGCTTTCCTCACAGATGTGTCCTAGCAGAGGGTGAGGGTCCCCTGCCACCCTGTCACAGCATGGGGACCTCCCCGCTGGCAGCCTTGATCTGCCAGGGCCTCTCCAGGCTGTGGAGTGCCCCTGGCAGTTCTGGACGAATGTCCCAGCCAGCTGAGGAGATGGTTCCTTCCATCTCAGCGAAAAGGCAGATAACAAAACACAGTACTTGTCACTTTCGAGAAACAAATAACACAAAGCTTTGTCCTTCTGCTGCCTTGCAGCTGCAGCTGGGCAGCATCACACTGCCCCTCCAGCTCGAGCACAGCAGCACTGTGTCCCCGGAGCACGCAGTGCTGTCACCACGAGGGAACAGCCTTTGGTTTAACTGTGCTTCAAGAATAAAGGAGACAAAAGCCCAAAACTGCTTGGTCCAGAGAGGCTGAACAGGATGACTTTGTGGCTTCTTTTAAAAAGACCCCAGTGAATCAGAAGGAAAGAAAAAGACATTTAAGAAGATGACATTGCTGATTGTTTTCTGGAAAGCTGAAGGGAGAACAGTGCATGAGGGAAAGTGAGAGAAGAGAAAGCGTGAATTCAACAGCGTGGAACTGTGGGACTATTGAAAAGGTGCAATTGAGGAGAATGAACACAGCATTCCCTGAATCTCTTGGGGTGATGCGAGGACTTTGTCTTAGGATGATCTTGTAGCAGCTGTTGGCTCCCTATTAGAAATGACATTAGTCAAAAGCACCGTGATGCTGTGAAATGTTCTGCTAACTGCACTGTACTGGGGGAACCTCTGCCAGCCTCCTCCTGCAGCCGCGTGGTTGCCGGGGAAATGATCGCTACTTTAAACGATCAGTTTAGACAGATGCTGTCTCTGCTCAGCAATGTCATCTCACACCGAGCCGGTGCTTTCCCAGGCAGACGGAGCGAGAAGCCGGGAGCGCTGCCCGGGCGCTCCCGCAGCCCCAGCTCGGGCAGCCGATCCCGCAGCATTCCCGCAGGGAGCCGCGCCCGTGCCACCCTCCCGGCACCCGCGGCAGGTGCCCGGCCCCGCCCGGCCCCGCGCCGCCCGGCGCTCACCCAGAAGGTCAGGTTGAAGATGAAGAGCAGGATCTTGACGCAGCGCATCCCCCCATAGCCCACGCCCATGGCGGGCGCTCCGGCAGCAGCTCCGCGGCGCTCGGCCCGACTCCGGCGGGCGGCCCCGGGGGCAGGTGCGGGGCCGGGCGGATCCGCCGACCTGGGCCCGCCCCGGGGCGGACTTTGTGCCCGGCGCCGGGCCCGGGGGTTCCCGGGCGGGGCACAGGCGGGGCCGGGCACCCCGCTGGCCCCGAGCGCTCGGAGAAATCCCGCTGCGCGTCCCGGGTGCCTCTGAAAGGCGCTCAGATCTTCCAGATGCTGCCCACAAAAGTACAGGCAGGATCAAGAATGTGATGTCGTTAAACTTGTCTTGGTTCGTAGCCGTAGCTAAGAGCCCCTCAAGTTCATTTTCCAATCATTTATTTGTTCTCTAATTGGACCCAAAATGCTGACTCTGCTGTCAAAATCTTAAAGCTTTCTCATCTTATGATTTTTTTCCCAGCTGCTCCTCCGAGGTCTCCAGGAACTCTGAGTCCAAAGTTGCCTGTGGGGCTTTGACAGGGGGGCGTGAGGTAAGGTTGTGTCTCCGGAAAAGAGGGGTTTCTACCTTAAACATTTCTTCTCCTTATTTAACGAATAAACCACTTATTTCCTATTTATTTTAGTTTGTGCTCTAGTCACAGCTGTAGAGTTCTACCTATTCAGATTATTTTCAGGTTTTGAATAAATTTTCCCTGAGATGTGTATGGAAACCATGCAAAAATGTGTGGGGAAAGATGTTTGGTGTTGTTATTTCAAATTACACTCCTCTAATGACGCAATAATACCAAAGGATGTTGGAGGTGGTTTCCTTTTTCACTCAATTTGCTCTGCATTTTCAGTTGCGTTAAAGCCTGGCCCTATTTTGGAAAAATAATCCCAAACAGTTTATTTGAATTGCAATGACAGAGTTTAATTAAAAATATCTTATTCCATTTGCAATGAATTGCAATGCAATACACTTTATTGGTTTAGTTCTTTGGTTTTTTTTAAGAAACAATGAATCTACATTATAACTCAGAGTAAAACCCACAATTTCCCTTTTTTGCTTCCGTAATGCTCTGCTGGATGGTGTTGACCTACCAGGTCCAATGTATTCCTTTTAAAATAACAAAAACATGAATGCCTTTGAATATTCAAAATAACTTCAAGACAGTGAGATGCATCAAACAGTAGCAAAAGTCTTCATTATCCTCTGATACATTTGAAGCAGAGATAAAATGAGGCAGCAGTTTTGCCTTGGATTGTGATGGCAACAAAAATAAATAGTTTTTTTTTAAAGTATTTTATTAGGTTTCTCTATTTCTCTAGTAATTTTCATGTTAATTTTCTCTCCAAGTGTAGGAATGGAGCATTCAGCCCTCATAAGTAGCAGGTCGATTTCCCACATAATTCTTGCAATGAATTAACCCCAAGGTGCTGCTTTTCAGCACGTGGTTCTTGGCATCTCACAGAGGCACCTCACATCTTCCTCTGGCACTGCCCAGGGGTCACACAGATTTGGGTACCCGGGGAGGTTCAGGCAGGGTTGGCAAAAAGTCACCGGTGGGGATCTGCTGGGCTCAATTCTAGGGCCAGTGCACTGCAGTGTCTTCATAAATGACTCAGACAGGACTCAAAGCGATACTGAGAAATTTTGCTGACAACACAAAACTGGGAAGAGCTGTTGACTCCCTGGGAGGTAGAGATATCTTGATAAACGTGAGGGCTGGGCAATCACCAACCATGTGAGTTTAACAAGCGCAAGTGCTGGATGCTGCACCTGAAGAGCTGCAGGATGGGGTAACCCTGGATGTACGGGCACACTGGGGAGTGAGGCCCTGGAAAGCAGTGCTGTGGAAAGGCACCAGGGTGATGGCAAGCTGGATCTGAGTCAGTGTGCCCTGAGCCAGGAGGGACACCCCTGTCCTGGGGGCACCTGTGGTCCTGGGATGGCAAGCTGGATCTCAGTCAGTGTGCCCTGAGCCACATAGGACATCCCTGACCTGGGGGCACCAGGGTGATGGCAAGCTGGATCTGAGTCAGTGTGCCCTGAGCCAGGAGGGACACCCCTGTCCTGGGGGCACCTGTGGTCCTGGGATGGCAAGCTGGATCTCAGTCAGTGTGCCCTGAGCCACATAGAACATCCCTGTCCTGGGGGTACCAGTGGTCATGGCGATGGCCAGTTGGATCTGCGTCAGTGTGCCCTGACCCAGGAAGGGACATCCCTGTCCTGGGGCACCAGGCATGGAATCCAGGCTGTGTGAGGGAGGGATTGCCCTGCTCTGCTCTGGGATGGAGCAGCCTCTCCTCCAGTGCTGGGGTCAGTTTTGGGTGTCACAAAATGAGAAGGATATAAAGCTGTCGGAGCTGTCCAAAGGAGGGACACGAGGGTGGTGAAGGATCTCGAGGAGCGGCTGAGGGCGCTTGGTTTGTTCAACATGAACGAGCCTGAGGTCAGAGCTCATCGGGGGCTGCAGCTCCTCCTGAGGCGCAGCGGAGAGACAGCTCCGAGCTTGTGAGCAGGGACAGGACTCGAGGAAGGGCTGGACCTTTCCCTGATCTCCACCCTGACCTGCCCTCATACCTGCCCTGGTGTGAGGGCAGGTCAGCCTGGAGATCAGGGATTCTTCCCCCAGAGGGTGCTGGGCACTGCCCAGGCTCCCCAGGGAATGGGCCCTGAGCTCCAGGAGCGTTCGCACAGCGCTCCCAGGCGTGCCCAGGGTGGGACTGGGGCTGTCTGTGCAGGGCAGGGGTTATGATCCCTGCGGCCCCCAGGCCATTCCCGGCTCCATGGCGGCTCCCTCACGGCCGGGCCGTGCCGCGGGCGGCAGCGCCCCCTGGCGGCTCGGCCGGCGCCCCTCACCCCCGCGCTCGGGCTCATTAACACGGCAGCTCTAATTGAGGGGCTCCCGGCTCATCAGGGCGTCTCCGGGAGAAGCACAAAGGTGGCCAGTGTTCTCATTTCGCAGCCTGTTTGGAACAAATCAATATCGTTAAGGGAAGAAGAGAGGCATTGAATTTTTATCAGTAGGATTAACAGGTTGTGAAGGAGGCATTTGTTTGTTGACAATTAGGATTATTGCATGAGCTGCTGTAGTTAGTCCTGTTCTCTGGGAAGAGTGACATTTCCATCTGGAACACGTCCAGCTTCAAAATCCATGGATTTTATTGCTTTTTATATTAAAGACCCTTCTGTTATCAAAATGTCCTTTCCCCCTGAGGTGGATGAAACAAACATGTGGATATTTGTAACACGCTTCAAGTCTGGCAATTTCTTTGCAGTTAGATTTAAATTATACAGAACCCGAGGCAAAGACTATTTGGTGTTGGTTATTTTCTGATTGCAGACCATGCTAGGAAACTTTTCATCCAGGTGTTATCCAACTGTAGCACTAGGTGTTCAGACACTGCTAAACACATGGAATTACTTGTAGTGACAGGTGGATAAGAAACTGTCCTTGCTAGAGCAAGTGCTGTTTAATTTCAATTACTAAAAGAAAGCCTGAGTTATTATTCCCATAAATATCATTCTGACTTAAGAATTAAAATATTTAAAATGTATTTGGGTAAAGGGAGGGGGTGAATGTTACCATTTTCCTTCCAGATCTGACCTACCCTTCCTTTGTTTTCCAGTCTTCCAAATGGTTCTCTGGTAACTATTAACCTTTCAGATATCAGGAGAGCACAATATTCTTTTTCCTTTCCGGTGTTTGACTGTTTCCTAAGTGGTTTACAATTCCAGTTTTATGCTTTATGAACCGCAAAACTCCTGCGAGTGTTTCTTAGCTCTGCATAGGATTGTTCAGATTTCACAGAATTAAAGAATAAAATTACAGAATGGTTTGGGTTGGAAGGGACCTTAAAGCTCATTCAGTGTCACCCCCTGCCATGGGCAGGGACATTTCCACTATCCCAGGTTGCTTCAAGTGCCATCCAACCTGGCCTTGGACATTCCAGGGATCCAGCTTTTCTGGGCACTTGTGCCAGGGCCTGCCCATCCTCACAGGAAAGGATTTATCCCCAATATCCCACCTAACCCTGCCCTCTGGCAGTTTAAAGCCATTCCCCCTTGTCCTATGTGCTTCCTGTTTCTCCTCTGCTTCTATGCATGATAAACTCAAATTCCTTGTTCAGGGTCCAAAATAGCCCTTCAGAGTAACATCAGCCAGGGAGTGAGGAGAAGCTCCCTTAATTATTCCCTGACTTAAATATTTCATTTACGTGGAACTACAACTGATTTTAAATTCCAAGCAAACAGCCCCAAACCCATACTGGACTCCCATTCTTCCAGGACAATGAAACTTGCATCATACCTTTGGCATCCGTGGTGCTGTTTCCATTTCCACTGAGTAATTGCCGGAATTCTGGGCCTGGCAACTCTGTCTCTGTCTCTGAATGCAGCTCAGGAATTGCTCTCTGGAATACAAAGAAGGTCAGAAGGGAGTGTATTTCTCCAAGTGTCTGGGCAAATCATCTGCTCCTTTGTCTCCTTCCATGCTTTTAATTTTTTTTCAATATATTTACTTGCTTTGCATCAGGCACTTGCATGCTGGGTCAGTCTGCAAAGCTCACATGGGGTTGCTGAGAACTGCTCGGATGCCCTGGCAAATGCACTGGCCTTGTTTTCTTTTTTCAGGAGTGTTCAGAATATGCTGTGCTTCAAATCCTGGCCTGTCTCTGAAAAATGCTTCTCAGAAAATGCATTGCAAGGGTGTAAGATCCCAGAATCCTGTCATTTCTACAGCAAGTATGATCTGGGTATTATTTCTGCCATCACCCCTTAAAGGCCAAAGTGGGAAGGAAGACAGAACACAAAGTTTTCTTTTCTGCTGTGTTCCAACAAGCCTTTCCCAGTCCCAGCTTGGTGTTTTGAGTCCCCTCCCCGCTCTCCACTAAGCAAATGAGAGGGGTTCATCCAATTACCTGTTGTATTCTCTCTCTGCAGATTCCTTCTGCTCTTAGGCCTGGTTTCTCTCTCCTCAGGTAGATGTGAGCTGCACAATCCCACTTGGATTCACCTGCAAGGTGCAGGTGAGTGGTGCCTGACACCCAGATGATCATTGTCTGTGATTTTGGTGGGCAAGCACACAGGATGACCTGGTTTGCAGCTCTTGCAACAGGCACAGTCTGCACAACCT